CTGGGAAACTCCTGGGGGAGGCTGTTCCCATGCTCCTCCACAGGAACACCTGTAGCGCTAACAGCAGGGTTTACATTGCAGCCGGTGTGATAGGGCGTGATAAGACCTCATGCACATTCGTAACTGATTCCCCATGCTCAATATATGGTACTCCTCTGCCTTTCTCTCAGCAGCACACACACACACACACACACACACACAGACACACACCCACACAGTGACCTCCATTACAACCGAAACAAAACTTTCCCAGCTCAACAATGTACGACGGAGGAAAACACAGATAAAGGGCAGAGCTATGTGTTCTCCCAAACAGCAACATCTCTAAAAAAAATAAGTCTGGAATGTTGTCTGTTATGTTTGTCATATCTACACAATTATGCTGATGGTTGGCTTTATTTCCACGAGTGTTCTTACTTATTAAATCCCCACTGTTATTAAAGGATTCAGATACACAATAATGTGCCTTCAAAATCTATTATCTTTTGAGCTCTGTGAACAGCACATTTTGGCTAACTGACACATATGACTTGCTCATGAGAGTGTGGTTGGGAGCGGGTGCATGACTGTGGGTGGGAAGCTGTCAGGCAGGGGAAGCCCAGCGTAGCGCTCCGTGCCATGTTGCTGTTTGTGTTCCGATCCTGGCTGAGCCGTCATCCAACCACAGGGGTGGACAGCATCTCTCATCCTGAGAGGTCTGGGTGTCACAGGTGGTATGGCCACAGGGCTGTGTGTGTCTGCGCGTCTGACAGCTGTATGATCACTCTCTGCTCTTTGAGGTCAGACAAAATAAAGCAAGGAGGGAGAACAAGAGAGGGAACTACTGAGGCTAATCACATTCTATCATTAAGAAAGGCAACACTTTCTCCACTCTAGAGAGATGCAAATAACGTGAAAGGATACCTTCAGGGGCACCTTCAGGAGGGCCATACTGGCACACAGATTTAAGGAAGGGGGCACATTTGGGAAATTATTAGATATGTGACAAATTTAAAATCCTGGATCCTAGCAATAATAAACTGCATTATTAATAGTTATGATAATTATTCAGTTGTTTTTCCATCATTTTGTAGTCATTTTGCATCTCTATGTAGTCGTTTTTTGTCTCCTTGTGGTGACTTTGACTCTCTTTGTGGTTGTTTTGCATCTCCCTGTGCCTATTTCACATCTCTTTGTAGTAGTTTTACATCTCCCTGTAGTCGTCTCGTGTCTCTTTGTGGTTTTTTCGCATCTCTTCACAGCAATTTTTTATCTCTAGTAATTGGTGATGGCTTTGCTTCTCTTTGCAGTGGTTTTGCATCTCCGTGTGATCATTTTGCATCTCTACATGGCGATTTTGCATCTCTCTGGAGGAGTTTAGCATGCCTTTGTAGTAGTTTTGTGTCTCTTTGTGGTCACTTTGCATGTCTTCCCAGCCATTTCACGTCTTTATAGTGGTTTTGCACCTCTTTTAAGTTGTTTTGCATCATTTTGCAATCATTTTGCATGTCTTTGTAGTTGTTTTATGTCTCATTATGTTGGTTTTGAATCTCTTTATTAGCATTTTGCACATCTTTGTAGTTGTTTTGTAAGTGTTTTTGGTCATATTGGGCCTCTTCATGGCCATTTTGTTGGTGATTTTGTCTTACTTTGTGGTTTTTTTGCCTCTGTTTGTAGTAGTTTTGCCTCTGTCTCTAGTAGTTTTGTCTCTTTGTGGTCGTTGTGCATCCCTGCCTGTGCTTGTGCCACTCCTGGCCCCACCTCTGGACCCCTTTCCCACCAGAACCCACTGAGACACTGGGAGCTTATGAGTTTCTCCTGTCATCTCTGACAGGCCCTCATTTGCTTTCATTCAGCATCTCATCACAGCTTCAAAGACGAGTGGATCATCTCCCTCAGGGGGAGTGAGAAGATCAGCAAGCCTTCAAAAAATGACTGGTATCCAAAAATTTTTGACCTAAGGCAATTTTGCTCCTCATAATTGGCTTCCTCACTCTGTCTGTCTTGGGCAATCATTGGAGAGTTATGATGTATTATATTGCCTGGAAAACATCATTAAGTACGGTGTGTAGAAGTGATTCAATAACATATCATTTTCTTTGTTATTGAGGGGGGCTAGTCACAGAGTACACTGAGTGCTTTCTTCCTCTACCAAACAATAATTCTGCTGCCTTGTTGTCTAACCAGGACAGGGAGACAGATCCAGTGCTCAATTTTGTTTGGTTCCAGCTGGAGCCCCCAAAGGAGAAAAGCCTGGCACCAGGAAATAGGATTCTTTGACGATCCAGTGAGGGGGCCACACACACACACACACACACACACACACACACACACACACACACACACACACACACACATATACGTACACCCTTCCCTTAGATTCTGTGCTCACATAAATCTCAACTCCCATACCTCCACAAAGGCTTCAAAACCCACTAAATTTGTTAAAACTTAAGTGATAGAAAATACCTAGAAGTTTCTGGATCTGGATCCAAGTCTGCATTAATATACAGAATAAACTAGACAATTATGGGATACATATCTGCCACTGTCGTTTTTCATTCAAATACGTGGTGGAATGTTAATAAGTACATTAACTCAAATAAAGCACTTAAATTATTCATCTCAAAAGAAAATATTCTACATTTTACTCAACAACATAGAGTTACTACGTATATTTTAGATCAAGATTTTTTTAATGTAAAATAAACATTGTTACAGATTAATCAAACCAACACTATATAAAGTTGTTAAAGCTTGCTTGCCCTTGACAACATTAAAATAGTGCTTACGTATCAATGAATCAATAATAATATCCCAATAATATATTATATTTGTAATAGTCCTATATGATTATTATAACACTCTGGATGCTATGCTGTAAAGTACTTTTACTTTTGATACCTAAAGTACATTTTCCTGAATGGATGTATTTTTATTTGTAATTTTTACAGGGTGGTATTACTATTTTAACTTAAGTATAATATTTCTTATTACTTTTAGAGTAATAAAAGTAATGAGGAAATAGCAAAAATCTTCAAAAATGCTGTATTTCACGATCGTGTATAAAAACTAATATCTAACATTAAGCAACAAAACGTTTTTTTTTAGATAACTAAATAGTCGACACACAAAAACAAATAAGAAATAGCTTCCTTGGTGGAGGTAATAGCTGGCTAGAACCCTAACTTTTCACCACGAGTGTGCATTAAAATATGGAAGTGACATTTGCACATCAAACTAGGTGCAACCACATGTGATCTCTCGGTCAGTTGGAGTGGCGTGATCGTGCTCCACACCTGGAGTCTGGATTCCAGTTTGTGCCTGTGGTGCTCAGGTGTGGAGGAAAACCAGTAAGCTCATCTCATCCTTTCCTCGGGGCTGAAAGATAAAGGACAGACAGAGAGAACCCCACGACCTTGAGAGGGAGAGACAGAGGCAAATGTGCCTCATGTGCTGTTTAGAAATGGTTTGAGGGGGGCTGCTTATTTCTCCCTTCTCTATCCTGAGCAACAGGTTAAAGCTGTGCACATCCAACCACTGCCCTGGGGATGTGTTATGACAACCGAAAACGGTGAACAGCGAGAGCAAGAAGTGGCATGAACAGATCTCAAGGTTTCTGACATGTGGGGGTGGGTGAAAAGGACCTCTGTTGAGAAGTGTCTAGCCTGAAGATACAATCATCAACTCAAGTACCATCAGGCAGCCACGGAAAACTGTCTGGGCTGATTTCTGATTGCTGTGCTGAATGAGGTAAACAAATACAGCTATCACTGGCAAACAGGAGCTTGAAACAGCTCACTGCACTAATTAGGTAAAAGGATGCTTGAATTTGCTTTGCTTGCTCCTGGTCTCATTGGTTCCTCCCCCCCTCCCTCCCAGTTTGGTAGACAGCACAGTGATGGAGGGTTGGAGCAAGGTGATTGAGATGTGGTTTTGTTAAGGTGCCAGGCAGCGCCCCAGGATGACTTTTCCTCCCACTAAATCACCAAGGAACTATTGTGAAATTTTTACAGCTTGTTCTGGGAAATACAATCACGCCACTTTCACACAGTACTCCGTGACAAAGTCGCTCTGTGTCGGGAAACTTCACAAACAACCTGTCTTCTTTCCTCAGACATCCCCTCTACGGTGACTTGTAATCTCACCTCACTGTTTAAAGTTTGATATCATTAGTTTTGGTGTCTCTGACCGCAGGCAAGAAGGAAGCCTCTGGATGGACAGAGGGGAATATTCTATCTGTGGAAAAAGAGGATAGCCTTATTAGACTGAATCCGGGTGAGCTGACAAAGGCTTGCCCGAGGACATGTTTCACAGAGTCTTTCCTGTCACATGTCTACATGTCAACAGATTAAGCTATATGCTCTCAGAGCTTGTTCTGGTAGGGGAAAGGATCTCTGCTTATCACACATGTCACCTATTACGTTTAAGAGAATCTCAAATATAATGGCAGATACAGCCTGCAGCCTAGATTTAAATTTAGGAAGTTTAGCATCCATTGAATAACCTGAACTGAAATGCTGACTTGTCCATTATGAGATGTTGTGAACCACTATACACAATTCAGTGCCAATATTTGGTGAGCTGTCTCATCGCAGCATTTAGGATGTTAAACCAAGAATTCATAAAGTTAAATAAACTATGGGATTAAGTTTCTTACCAGTTTGTGTGCTTCTGAGCGGTACTGACACTAGGTGGTGTTTCTTCAGCACAGAGAACTTAATATTTGTTGAGCATGTCATGTAGAACAAAGATCGTAAATTGAGAAAACCTGTCTCCTTCAGTCACACACAGTAAAAAGAGGGAACTAACTATGGTATAAAACATTAATTAACCTTATAACAGACGTTACCTCACAAGAAAGTCAGAAAAAAAAAGAAAAATAACAACTAAAGTACGGATCTGCAATTACATTTTCAGTATCGAAGAATCGAGGCAGAGTGAGCGCTCTTCTTTTTTTTCCCGCCCCCCTCTCAAGTGACGCGGCAGAACTTCCGCTTTCCCACTTCCGTACACAAACGACTCGGCTGATGACGTGTACCCTCGACTACCGTTAGCTACCTGGGCTAGCTAGCTAGCGCAGCCACCTGTCAGAGTCAAGGTGTTGTAGGCGAACAGGTGACGGTAGAAAGCGGAGGAGCGTCCAAGCAGGTCACGGAAGATGGAGACGCTCTACCATCAGACCAACAAGTGAGTGTGTCCGTCTCATGTTGGACGCCGTAGACTCTGTTAGCTTTAAGTAGCTAACAGAGTGTAAATACACGAGCTAATTACCTGGGATTTAACTTTTAGCCGTAAGTGTAGCCAACTGATAGCAGCATGGTACAATTAGTGGTAATTAAAGTTGTTAAAGTGTTGTTAGTCGATGTTTGTAAGATGTTAACATAAATAAATAACTAACTGAACGGACTGGTTGTGTTTTGGCATCGTGTGTGTTGGTTCCCATCCACTAACGTTATGTGTGTTCTGGATTAGGCAAATCCAGGAGGTGCAGTCTCTTATGGGCAATCTGGAGAAGACGGATCGTCAGTCAGTACACTGTGAGTAGTGAGCTGTAACGTGGTTTAAACTACTTCCTGTGTGGAAGTGTTGATGGCACACTTCTCGTCCATTTGTCCTTTTTGAGTGGTTTCTAAATTGTGAGACTCCCTGTTATGGCTGCTCTGATGTAATGGCAGGAGGAGGGGCTGGTGTCTCCCTGGTTGATTGTTTTCTGAGGTTGGTGCCTGTCCAATCAGTTCTGGGCCAGGCTGGTGCCAGGACAGGAAGAAGCGGGGTGGGTGCAGTGACAGAAGCTGGGAGGGCTTCTTCTAGATAATGGTGGGAGCCAGGCAGTAGACAACCCTCCCCTTCCCAAATTATGACATCAACTTGTGTTTTAACCCAGAGGAGGATGTTGCATTTTAAGCCTCTACGCTTAAATGAGAGAGGGCAATTCCACTGATAAATACCACTGCAGTCACCCTGGAATAAACAGGCACCCACAGTAACGTGACAAGTGAATGAAGTCAGAAAAGTAGTAAAGTCTGATTTTAAACAAGTGTACACTGTACTGATCATCTGCAATAGATCCAACAAGGAAATGTGATGTTTTCCATCCTGTAATTACATTAAATGAATTGTCTTTTTGTTTCTATCGGTCTCTCTTCTCTCTCTTTCTTTTTCTCATTATTCAAGTGTTAGAGAATGAACTACAGGCTCGGACCGACCAGATCTTCAATCATTTAGAACGCCTTGAGATCCTGGCCAGCAAGGAACCACCAAACCGCCGCCAGAACGCCAAATTGTGAGTTTGAATTGAGTCAATTGATGGTGACCCTAAAGCCCCAGACCTGGCAGGGTGAACCATATCTCATAAAGGCACGGGGAGGGTGTAGAAGATGAGACAGGCGGCCCTGTCCTGCCCTGTGGCGACGTGGCTCTATGAAAACATTTCCTCAGAAGCCCCGTCATCACTAGCATTCCTGCTGCATTGGGCAAAGATTCATTTCTGAGCTGGGTAAACAGGCCTTAGGGGACACAGTACACCCCATCCCACAGCACTGCTCTCATCTTAGTAGAGCTCCAGTGGGGCCTGAGTGAAGCTAAGGAGAGACTCATTCCAACTGCATGATAGGGAAAAGAAATACCAGCCAGAACAGTTATGAATTGTCAGATCCACATATAAGATGATGTGCAATGATGCATTGTCATAACATACTGTATGTCAAAAAAGGTGATCAAGTATCTGTTACAGTAAAGAGTATTGTAGCTGCAGAGAGAGCTTTGTCCACTTTATAACAAACGTGAATCAATTTACTGTATCCTCTGCTGTCCCTCAGGCGGGTAGACCAGCTTAAGTATGATGTCCAGCACCTTCAGACCGCCCTGCAAAATTTCCAGCACCGACGCTACGCCAGAGAGGCCCAGGATAGAGAGAGGGAGGAACTCATGAGCCGTACCTTCACGACCAACGTAAGTTAAGTCTACAGGATGAGGCTATTGAGGTTGGTAATCACTCTACTGGGCATGAATCCAACATTCATGTCCACGTCTTCGGGTTGGTAAAAATGTGATAATGATCAGTGAACTTTGAGTTTGCTCGAACTTTTTGTCCGTCTGGCACACAAGCTAGTTGGCTCAGTGTAACGTTCAAATATCTCAAGCTGAATAATGTGGAATTAAAAAAAAATTTGTTCTTGTTCAATAGGACGCAGATACCTCCATCCCCATAGATGAGACCCTACAGTTAAACTCCAACTTGCACAACGCACACAGAGGCATGGATGACCTCCTGGGCAGCGGCAGTAGCATCCTCAACGGTCTCAGAGATCAAAGATCTACACTGAAGGTGTGGGCATATGATTTAATACAAGACCCGTAGCAGAACAGACCTTCACGTTTTTGTTTTTTTTATTTGTTTTTTTAGAGAAAGGAACCAGTATAGATGGGTACACTCTCTGGATAAATAAAGTTTAAGCATTTTGTTCCATGAGCCAGTTTTTTGAATGCCACATTGATCACAATAGTCTCATTGTTAGTGTGCATATGCTCAGTTAGAGGGTGAGTCCATTTTTCCAGGGAGGAGATGGTCTTCCTGGTTTTGCTTCAGGCCTCCTCTTATCAGGGTGTGTCTGTTGAGCGGCACTCATTGCCCGGTTGTCTAGCCATGAGAAACTTCTGACGGAGCGGCGCGTCAGGGAGGGCGTTGGCACTTAACGTCTCTCGAAATCAGATGAATTAGCGTGGATAATTACATTGTTGTCATGTGATGCCTGAATTTCCCAAAACAATATGTGTATGTATGACTGTTGCAGCCCAATCTCACACGTGATCATTACTGTTAACATGAGTATGGCTCTTGTTTTCGGCTCCGTGCAGGGGACCCATAAGAAGATGCTGGATGTGGCCAACATGTTGGGGCTGTCGAACACAGTGATGAGACTGATAGAGAGGCGAGCCACCCAAGACAAGCTGATCATGATTGGAGGCATGCTTCTGACCTGCGTCTTCATGTTCCTGGTTATCAGATACCTGGGCTGACCACCATCCATCCACAACGGCGGTTTTTGATCAGTCGTGGACATTTCTGCAGTGCATCATCCCTCATGATATGAAAAGTGGCAGAACGGAGATTTTTAACATCAGATATAAGCAATTTATAAATTGTGCCATTATCGTTTGTTTTCAATCAATGTAATTATTTTGGGCACCTGCGAAATGATAAAGTTGAAGAAGGCCTCAATTACATACAGTATTTTATTCCGCTTGAAGCTCCAAGAGAGCATTGAACTTTATGATATGTCTGATTTCCTCCGATTACTGCCACACATCCATCATCTTTTTTATCAAAACCACTCTGAAACTGTAAATCACTCGTTTACCCAAACAGCTTTTTAAAAATACTTAATAACTGATCTTTATACTCATCCTTTACCATCAGTAAAAAGCTATTTGTTTTATTTTGCTCCTTAATCTGTCAGTAATGTTGTCAGTGTCATTCTGCCTTGTTGAACATGGTTCATAGAAAAATAGAAATACTCATAACGCTCCAAGTTTCATTACATTGCAATTTAAGGATACTCCCCAGAGAATCATCTTTTGTTTTGTGTGTAGCTAAGGTTATATACCAGAGATAAACAGGGTGACACCAAGGATCTGCTCAGAAGAACAATGGAAGCAGCAATTATTTTGTTATTGTACTTTATCCTGGATTCATGTTGGAGTATTAGTCTCACTGTGTGAGTGACTTCCTTCTCCTAATAGAATAAAACATGTTAAATTTCCTTGGTATATCTTCTTGCTGGTAACAGGAACAAAGTTTATAACAGATTTTTGCCAGATAACTCTTAAGTGCTTTCCCTGCCACTGCAAGCATTGCTGGTAGTTAGGGGCGTTAACTCTCCTGTTATGTGCTTTTTGTGGATTTTTCTGCTTTCACAAGTGTATTTAGGGCAACTAGGGCACCATCTAGTGTTTCTTTTTTAACAGTGACCTCTGCAGGGGATTGCTTGACTTTCCCAGATAAAGTGATGTTAGCATTTTCATTCTTGTGTCTGAGTGGTTCAAAGATTAAATGTTTACATGTGAATTTCATTAATCCTTCATATTATGGAAAAAGACACATGAACTCAAGATTTTATTTGCTGAAACATTAAGGTTTTAAAAAATACAGAGTTGCTACTGTTTGACAGATCACTATTCCTTTGCCATCCCAGCCGGGGTAATTTAGAAACAACCTTGATAAAATACATACATGTGTCTACCTGCCATCCACCAAGACATTCGTCTTTTTCCAATGCCAGTCTCAAACCTCTAGAATGTTAATAGGTTAATCTACAGCAGTTTTATTTACAAAATTACACAAAAGCAAAACACAGTTCTTCTTTTGAAGAGCATTTTGGAAAATAATTTAAAAACAGAAAAATACAATTATTGCAGTATACTACAATCTTATTGTTACATGATGCAAACGCACCATCTAGATGTACAGATTTCAGTGCAATTCATTCAGGTGTACCCTAACCACAGGGAACATGAACTTTGCCTCAGAGCATCAGGGATTTTAAAACCCCTACATCACATTTCCCCTCGCTTTGAGAGGAGGTTCCTATGTGACAATGTCATACAGATTTGGACACCATAGCTGTAATTTCATATGGTCATCATTGGTGGGATTCTTCACATTACACACTGATATATGTACAGGTTACTGCATTACAAATAATTTGAGACTTAGGATCCGATGGAGAGCAAGTAGTCCTATGAAAACATGAACAGAGTATCAGTAATTATGAAACAGTTCTGAAGGTTACATTATAGAATCAAACAATACCACGAACTCCTCACCCCCCCTAACATGATTCTGCTTATAGCTTCAGCCATTATGTTTCTTTGGCTGCCAAGATGAGCAAAAACTGTGAGAATAATATTTTTATGAGGAAAACAAAAAACACCTCCAGTGGTTTCTCTGACTTAGAATTCAAAAACAAATGGGGCTTCTTAATATACCTCAATCTGGAATATAAACCAATGTCTTGCAGAAGTATCTTTAAATCTACACCCTGTTTTTAAAAATTCAGGGAAAAACATGAAAAACCCTCACATGAGCCAGAATAAAATATTAGTGTCAATTTTGAACCCAACACAGGCAACACCACTTTGTGGCTACAACTTGCTGCACTGTGTAGGCCAGTAAAATGATGGTTTATTGACCGCTTCCTGTCTCACTGACTGCACGTTGTCACAAAGACGTCCTTTAACCCTACACCAAGCCGGTTAGGTTAAGTCTTTCTTCCAGTGGCTACAGTCCTTCACTTGCATCATTACTCAGGAGCCATGGTTAGGTGGATGCTGGAGGTCCTGTCCTGAGAAGATTGGGTGTAGCAGTGGGTGGAGTTGGAGAGCTGCTGCTGCAGCAGCCTGTGAGTGCCTGGGTGTGAAAAGTGTGGGGTACAGGGCTGTATGTGGTACATGGTGGAGAGCTAAGGGGGTGTGGTGAAGTGCAGAAGCTGGGATAATATGTATAGGCTGACCAGAAAGAAAGGCTGTTGGGTGGGCAGGAATCAGTCCAGCATGTCCTAGTGAGTGTCCCAGAGAATGACCAAGAGAATGGCCCAAAGGAGACAAGGAGATGGGGGTCAGGTGGTGCTGGGGAATGTGGTGTACTTGGGCCAACTGGGCATGTGCATGGTGTGGGTGGTGGGGGTGTCCTGGGTGAATGCCCATGGCTGCAGCAGTGGCAGCGTGGTGTTGCAGGATAGCGTGTTGCACTGTGGTGATTGATGTGCCAGAGGCTACAGACACTGTGGGCTGCTGAATGTGGATCTGCTGCAGGGTTGGGGGAGGTGGAGCTGGAGCCAAGTTGGCAGCTGCTGCAGCAGCGGCTGCAGCCGCAGCAGCAGAGGGAAATGTCTTGACCTGCTTGGCCAAAAGCTGTTGCTGGATGTGCTGCTGTGCAGCCTGTTGAAGCTTGCTGTATTTTTCCATCTCCTCTGGTGTGAACGTAATGGGCTGACTCTCCAAAGGTGCCAGTCCATCCTCCTCTGCCTCCATACCATCCTCCTCCAGGCTGGGTGGTGGGTAAGCAGGGTAGGCATGCATTGGGGGCTGCTGCTGCATTTCTGGCATGAGGGACTCCATCATGGGGTTCTGCGAAGGGTCCTGCCCTGATTCTCCTTGGTACTGTGGCATCATCATGGAAGGCTCCTGCTCAAACAACGGCCGGGGTTCTTGGTGCACCTGGGCTTCTGTAGTCGGGTGGGGTGTTTCCTCTTGTACCACTGTGCTCTGCTGTGGGGCCTCCTCAACCTTCTTGACCGGTGGAGCTGGAGGTGGTGGTGGAGGGGGGAACTCCCTTATAGGCTCTACCAGGATAACCTCTGCCTCAGCCTCAGATCCCTTCCCTGCTCCTGATTTCTCACCCTCATCAGGTCTCGTCAGGGGAATCATTGGTTTCTTCCCTGCCTGCAGCTTACCAAAAAGGGGCAGCATGGCTTTGTTTCCCAGGGTTGGGGGTAGTTTGGGACCAAAGTAGCCCTGTGGTGGGTCCTTAATCTTAATCCCAGATTTTGTTCCTGTGGTAGAATCATCAGAGCTTTTTTTAGACTGAACCTTCTCTAGCAGCTGGCGTGCAGTTAGGGAGTTTTTCTGTTCCCCTGCATCTCTGGACCCCCCTGGCCTCAGAGCCTGCGAGCTGGATGAATGGGTGTTGCGATTAAGGCCTCGCGATGAAGATGAACGTGGAGACTGGGAGCGGTAGATGCAAGAGCGGTTGAAGTCTCTGCGGTGTGACTCACTGTCCACTCGACCCCTGGGGCCTCGTCGGCGAGGGGAGCCTTTGGTAGAACTGGAGGAGCGACTGGCAGAGCTGTGGCTACGGCTGTAGCTGCGCCTCCACGATCTTGCACTGGTGCTGCGGCTCCAGCTACTAGAGCTTCTTGAGCTGCTCCTATGGTGCCGCCGGTGCCTCTTCCTGCGGCTGTAGCTGCGTGAACGTGAGCGTGAGTCTTCTGAGGAGGAAGAGGAGTACTGATGTCTTCTGGACCGTCTGTGTCCTCGGCTTCCCCTTCGCTCATACTCAGAGTCTGATGACCGTTTGGAGTGCCTCCGTCTGCGACCCTCTGTGCTGTAGTCGCTGTAGCTGTCTGAGTAGCTACGGCTACGGTGGCTGTAGGCGCTGCTGCCAGCTGAGGAGCGCTCAGAGCTGCTGGAGTAAGAGTGACTACGGGAGTTCTGGCCATGATGGCGTCGACGACTGCTACCCCGTCTTTCCCCTCGTCTTGAAGAACGACTGCAGGACCGCCTTGATTCCTCACTATGGTGGCGACGTTGTTCCCGTGGACTTGACCTATGATGACGTGACCGCTGCGTATTAGAGCCCCCTTCTTCTTCACTCTCGCTGCTGGGAGGTCTACCTGGACCAGGACTCTTTTGGGCTGAGGTGGAGCAGGAGGCACTTTGAGATGCACTTGAGTCAGTCTTTTGACGCTTGGTGCCACTGTGATCCTCTGAAGAGTTGGCCTTGTCGGTGCCTTTACCGGCTCCTCCTTCCTCTGCTCCAGACTTGCAAGGCACTTCCTTAGCAGCACGTTTCCTCTTCCCCAGTTCCGCTCCTGTATTTCCTGTAGCTCCTCCTCCTCCAGTTGTCAGCTGAACAGAGGAGGCAACAGCCTTATCTTCTGACTTTGGTTTTGCCTTTTCCTTTTCATCCCCTGCTGCCTCATCTTGATCTGGAGCCTTGTTTTTGCTCTTCTTCCTTTTGTGTTTTTTCTTCTTTTTGGGCTTATCTTGTGTTACCTCAGTCTCTCCCTCCCCATCTTCTTTTGCCCCTTTTTCTTTTTCTTTGCGTTTTGAGTGCTTCGCAGACTTCTTATGCTTCTTCTTTTTCTTTTTTTTCTTGGCACTACTGCTGCCAGTTGCTGGCTTTTGCTCATCACCGTCTGGTGGGCCAGACTCTCCCTTCATCATTGGCTTGTCTTTGTCAGTGCTGGTTCCAGGTTTAGTTGCTGTATCTACTTCCGCTGAGACAGCCATCTCTTGTCCCTTGTCATTAGACTCTTCACAAGGTTTAGGGGACTTTGCTGCTTTCCCACCACGCGCTCCTTTGTTGCGGGACAGCTTGAAGTCAAAGTAGAGGGGATTGCAGCTGTAAGACAGAGAAGGCTGAGCTTTTGTAAATTCGAGGAGCTCAGAGGGCCACTGCAGGGTAGTGCTCTCATCTTTGCTCAGGACTGGGAAGAAGGGTCCTGTGGGGATTTTAGGACCCGAGTTGGAATCGAGGCTATCCTGTGTGCTCTCTGCTTTTTGTGTAGGGGAAGTGGGTACTACAGTAGCTGTATCTGCTGCACATGTAGACACCTCCTCTGTCTTCACTTCAGGTGATGGAGGAGTTGGCTCTGGGTCAGGGGTTGAAGCGATATTACCCTGTTCTTTTTCAGTCTTACACTCTGTAACGTTGGGCTCTGTCGGTTCAGAACCATCATCAACCTTCTTCTCCTCTTCCCCCTCTTCCTCGTCTTCCTCTTCTTTGCTCGGACACTGATCGGTGGCCTTCATAAACAGCAAAAACTGGAAGTGAGGCTTTACTCGGCAGTGAGCTGGAGGTACATAGTGATAATACTGAGGCTCCTGTCCAGCATATCCCTCCTCTTTTTTCATCATCATCTTCAGTTTGTTGAGAGTGGAGGCTAGAGACGCTCCGTCATCAGGCTGCTGCACCTCTTCCGCCCCTGCCACACTAACGCCCTCTCCTACTTCACCTCCTCCTGAGCTTTCCTTAGGGCTGTCTGTGCTGCAGCCAGATGTCTCGTCTTGCCCTCCAGCCTTTTCTCCCTCCTGGCTTTCCTCTTCCTCCATAGCTTCCTCTCCATGATCAGCAAACACTGCTGCTGCTGTCTCTAACTTTACTGGGGCTTTCTTGGCAAAAGAGAAGGACACACTGACTTTGGATGCGCCACTGGGGGTTGGGGAGGAGGCGGTGCTCTTCCCCAGAGAGAAGCTGATTGTTGGACCTGGCTTTGGGGAGGACTGCCCAGTTTTATCTGCTGGTGATTCTTCCCGGGCACTGTCTAACAAAGGGGTGTTCTCAGGCGTCATGCTGTCACTCTCTTCTGCTTTCTCTCCATCCACAGCCACTGTGGTAGTTTTGAACATGGGCCCACTTCCTGGAGTACTGAAACACAAAAGCATGACAATGTGATGTTGGATGAATGTTTCCAACTGAAGAAATACCACATAATTGCAGTAACAGTTTAACAGGATTATCGCATCCTTGTTGTGTTTGTTTGTCCTCACAAAGGGCCAGACAGGGTCCTGATAGTCTTCAGTATCAGTTTTTTTGAATTTAGTATTTAGTATTATCAACTGAAAGAATAATTATTCAAGGAATCAAGAGGTGGTAATTTTTTAAGGTGTGGTTTTTGTTTGGTCTAACAGGTTGCACAACGATCCTTAAAAACACAATAAACATGCAATTGTACTAGCAATAGATATATTCTGTAATCCAGCCAGCAGAGGGCACTCCGTGAATAAATTCTTACCGGTCCTGTTGTTTCCTTTGCTCAGCCAGCTCATGCAGTCGGCGCAGCATCTTTTCTTGCTTCTTTCCACCTTTCCGGGAACGTGATGACACATTCCGAGCAAACTCTCTCTGCTTTAGCTCTTTAAGCCTCTGCAAAATCAAGACATTGTCAAGACAGAGAGAAACAAAGCTTATCAGGATCTCTTCTCTCATGTTTTAACACAAAACAAATCTCCATTAAGAGTGCAATAATTGCAATGCAATAAGTACCTGCTTGTGAGCGTGGTCATAAGAGTTAATGTGGTTGTCAAATTCCTGGTGTTTGGTATACTGTTTGTCACATAGCTCACAGTAGAAATTGGCTCTCAGGTCTTCCAGAGCCTTTGCGATAGCTTTCTCCTTTTCCACCTGGTCCTATTGTTGATAGGAAACACAGGAGGGAATTAATCTTAGACTGTGTTCAAAGAGTAAAAAAGTAGCTATAGTAATTGTCTTCTGTTTCCTTCCTATTTTAAATGCATTTACCACAGCAGCCCTACTAGTAGGCTGATAGATTATAGAACCAACACAAATTATCACAATGACAAGACTGAAGAGCCTCACCTTGTATTTTTGCCGCAGTTCTTCTGTGTCCTCCTTCTCCACTTCAAGCACTCTTCTCTTTTCTGTGGCATCCTCTGCATAGTCCAGCTAAAAAGGACAGACACAGCAGTTACAGCACACGCAGAAAACAACATTCCTGAATCAACGAGAACCCTTCAAATTCATCTTATTTGCCATTTTGGAGTCTAAAAAAATTTCAGTGTTTTTTAAAAAGTATTGTTAATAGTTCTGAAAAGGTCTATATTAGAAATGTTTCTATGTACAAGTTCTCCATCTACGTAGACAGATATTTAAAAGTATTCCATCAAATGAATGCAAAACTGGAATCCACTATCACAAAACAAAATAAAAATCTCCCTTATGGTTTCCGTTTTTTTCTCAAATAAGAACACAGGACAAGTGATCTACAGAGCAGATATGTATGCTGTAGCAGACGTTTGTTTTATTTCAGTTAGACTTTAACAGTAAAGACACGATGGATTGTGGGAACACATCAGCGTCGAAGCACATATCCTCCCCTTAAGGTAGATGGATGAATCATATTTAGCCAAAATTGTGAAGGTCAAATGCAAGTTATGACAGGAAGTGAAATTCCAGGAACATCAGTGTTATTCTGCAGGTAGCAGATTTGAAGCATATCTATTGAGGCCGCCAGTGATTACTGTATCATACTGTATTTTCTGTTTTATGGTCTGTCCATCTCAAAAGTGATGCACTATGAATCTTTATCCACTGACCGATTTGCATTTTGCACCTATTTATTCATTCAGGTAATGTTCTCCTGGCAACCACAGCAACACACAGATTTGTCTGTCAGACTGCCAATTGGTGGAGCGTGATTGATAAGCTTAGAGAATGTTTTTTGCTGCTCAACAGTCCAGTCCTGCTGAGCTTTACACAACTCCGGCTGAAAATTGGCACTTGGTACTGCGCATGGGGCTCAGGCTAATGTAAGGGGGATTTTTTTTTGCCATGGAAATGTATTTGAAGCACCCAAAATCATCAGTGAGCTCTGAAACCGAGGACAGATTTAAAACATTTTTTAATAAGCTTCACCTTTTGGTAATCTTGTTCTGTGACCTTGTGTAGCCAATAGGCCCACAACTCTGTGGCTGAACTGCCATTGCTTCAAGTTGTGTCGTCTGAACAGTAACAGAATTCACAGAATTTGCTTCATTAGGGTGACTCTAGGGGAGTCGAAATTGGACAAACTAAATTGTTCTATTACCATACCATTCTGAAAGTCACTGAACTCTTGAATGTTGGCTTAATGATCAATGGTGGTGTAACAACATGTCATAACTTATTTTATATACCTCTCAGCAATGGTTGTTCAAGTACACCAATTTCATTGCAGCAAAATAGGGTTAAAGATTGCAGCGGTGAGAGCAACATAAACAAGTGATGGGTGATAAAATGAACCGAATCTTACCTCCATCTCCATCCGTCCCATTCCCATGACATCATATTTGAGGATGATGGGCACAGGGTCGGTGCGTCCTAAGGGAAAAGAGACAGAGAGAGATCTAGGTGAGTTTTTGAGACTGAGACGGAGGGCCAGCTCGGAGACAGCCTGCTTTTAGAGCATAGGGTGCTGGGGTTAGAGAATTTTGCCTTGAAGTGCAAAGAGACCAGAAAGCTACAGTGAACCAAACACCAGCCATTCTCACAGCTTACTGCAGCCACTAAAAATAGACCAATTTTTCTTAGCTAAACAAAGTTTTATTTGACCTGGCTGCTCATTTGCATTTTGAATGAGTCAAATTAGCTGCAACTATTGTATTTCTGGTGAATTAAATGAAGTCAAGGGCATCAGGGTTGTTCTGCAGCAATAGGTCTTACTAGAGAAAAAAAGAAAGCTCATGAGAAACAGAGCTGTCAGCTTTAAGCCAATCTGTTTCCATATCTTTTCAGTTTAGTTGTCCCTCACACCACCCCTCCTCCACCTGTTCATTGCTGCAGTCCTGTTAAACCAGAATGCCAAGTTTATCAAGGACACTACAGCTTGAGGGGCTGTGGTGTGTGTGTGTGTGAAGGGAGTTGCAACAGGCCTGCGCAGCTGCTGCCACTGCTCAACGAGCGCCACTGCGACATCCTCCATGAGTGGAACAAAACCTCCCAATATTATCTAAGGCCTATTGCATCATCTCTTTCTGAAATGTCCGCAGGCTGGCTGACCCTTGCAAGTCCCTTTCACTGTCCTGAGGTCAAAATATGTTCCCTTGTCCCAGGCCCCCTTCCTCAACATGACTGGAGCTGAAAGATTATTTTCCTGCCTACTTAAGCTATATTACGTAAGCTGTGAAAAGAGCTAGATCGGAAGGAAATTAACTGTAGAAAAATAAACAAACCAAAGACAACCAAAAAACAGAATGAAACATTAAAGATATAAAATATATAAAAATCAAAACTACTTTGGAGATTGACACAGAATTGCTTAATCCACTCATAATCAGCCAAACAAAGCAGAGAGAAAGACAGAGAGTAAAATTAAAAAAGGACACAAGCACTGAACTACAGCAGAGTGACGTCACAGGCCAGGTATCGCCATGGTGACAGTGCAAGGGATGGGGATACTTACCTGGTAAAACATGGGTATGGGTAGGAGGAGAAGGAAGGGGAGGACAGACAGACAGATAGACAGGGGAATCTCAACACAAAAGGCATAAAAAAGAATTTGGACTAGTCTGCTGCTCCTGTTGCCAGCCAGATACAATAATCAATCTTACTGATAGTGATTATCAATTCAGTTTGGTTTCAGTTTTTTTCTTCCCACATATTTAAAGTTAGTTTTTTTTTTTCATGAATCAATGTTCTATGTATACCATTGGGCATATGGAATAACTACAAGAATTGGGCTTGGAAATGTATAATCAGAAGATTCACTGATTAAATTTCTTGCCATTTTTTTTTTATTAAGGGTTTTCTCTAATAGAAAGAAAAACAGAGTGCTAATACCATGCATTTTCCACTGTCCTGCCAAAGTAATACTTTGAGCCAAAAAGAGCCCAGAGACAACATGTCTGATAATAATTACTTTCAAGCGGGCTACTTCCTGGCACATTCTTACCTTTCTGGACAGAGGAGGGTAAGAACATTATTTGATGCAAATATCTGTGTCATTCCTGTGCATTCCTAATTTAATTTAGTCATCACAGCCCAATGACATATTAATTCTGAAATCATTAATGCATGGGCATTGTAACATATAATGGCTTGCTTGGACTCTCAGTCCACTGCAGTGTCTGGCAGCTGGGTCAGCTTTTAGCTTAAAACCTAACTCTGATTGCAGGATTGTGGAGGCCTTATTCCAAGGACTGATTGTGTGATATCTAGATCACAAGACTACCTACTGATAGACATGTGTTTTCACACTCTTTTCCCAACTGTGGTAGAGAAGTGAAACCAAAAAAGTTGGGGTCTGTTAGCCAGCCACTGCAGTGGTCTGTTTGAATGGAGTCACAAGCCAGGCCCAGAATTAAAGATTAATGAACAATTACAGTCAACCCAAACTATCACCAATCTTTAAACACAGTGACAATACTTCCACATTACCCATTCCAGTGGAAAAGAAAGGGACCAGACAAAAACAATGTGCATCTAAATCACAGGGTGTGAATCACAAGGTTTAAAAAAACTGAAAACAAACAAAATGACAATGTTCTAAGAGTAATACAAATGCATGATAATATACAAGCAGCAGAATGAGGACTAATACAGAGAGAATTGAAAGCCTATGTAGCATTGGTGCTCTGATGAGAGGAAAACAAAAAATGGGAGAAATTAAAACAAAATAAAAAACAATTCAATTGGGGGATAAAATAACATTTACCACTAAGTTTACCATCAGCACAACATGGGCAGGATCAAATCGCTGTAAAAAAGAAACACCAATTGGTTAAGCAGGAAGATTGAGGCACATAGAGAAGGGAGGGTGGGTTTGGGAGTATGGTTGTGGGGTTTAGGGGGCTTAATACCAGAGGGGCATCAGTGTGTCACCCCCCACCCCCCGCATCCCTTCACTCAGGGCTAGATGCTTACAGGGATTTCCTCTCACCACTCTCTCCCAACCACTGGTCCCAGTCCCCAGGCCCCTAGCCTGGTGTCATCTTGCTCTCTCAACCAGAATATGCCCCAATGGTACCAAACTACCACCCCTTAACAAAGTACACCAAAAGTCCTGCATCCCTGTATCAGTATAAACCCAGCAAACCTTCACTTTTTACCTTTGCAGAGCAGAAAAAACATTACAGACCCCATCAGATAAGTACTTTTGGAGCAGTCGTACTGGGTGAGGGAATGATTAAGAAACTGCAGATTCTAATGGCATATTAACCCCCGACAGGTAAAGGAAGTATTGTCCAACAAAAGTTGTGAATCAAAAGTAACTTTTGAAGTGTCTGGTACAGGGAACTGATTGTGACGTTTTTTTTTTTTTTTATTTCAACATGTGGTCAAATATCTTGTCTGAGATGATAAGATGCGTCTAGGGACGACCACCATTTTCCCCCTTTGAGCTTTTAGCCTCACAGATGCTTGTCAGCCCAGTTAGCAAATCTCCCTGAGATTCTTTCATTTCTGCGCTAGCTTAGAGCCAGCAAGCTTGTTTTGGGATGTGCTTAACCCCGGAACAAGTGAACACATGACACACATAAAATGTACCTGAGGAAAGAGCCAGCAAGGCTTTGAGCAGTGCTTAGAGTGGGGTTCTGCATTGCTATGCAACAGCAGTTTTTACCAAAGTACACTTAAAAATGTGAACTGTGCACCCATCTGGAGTGTTACATTTCACTCTATCGTGTGAAAGTAGTAGCTCAGTGTGTTACCTCCAACACTGCTTAAAGCCCCAGGTGAGTGTGACAGTTTGAGGCAGGCAGGAGTGCACCTCTGGGACAAACATGCTGTGCAGGAGGGGCAAAGAAACAAGGGGAGGACGGAGTGTGTAACCATGGGGACAGAGACATTCAGGGTGTAGAAGGGTGGTGAGGTTTTCCCTGTAAGTTGACTCTATGGCCCGGTCAGTAACAGACACGCTCACACACACATCTCAGTCCCACGTAATGACCACACACATACACACAAGTTTCACAGGTTTGGAGGTAGAAACAGGCAAACAAGCAGAGGAGGGGGGGAGGGAAACTTGTCTACTCTGCAAGCCATTCAAAGTCTGAGCCGTGGTTACAGCCAATCAGATACCCGACAGCAGCAACGGAAACTCAAAGAGGAAAAAAAAAAATCTAACATACGTGGAGATGATGATTCTAGAGGATGTGATGGAATCATGGCTTCCTAAATCTATCTTGATTTCAAATGGATTTTTGTTCTTTGTTCAAATCGAAGCACTTTACACTTGTGCAGATTGAAATAAAGGTTTAGTGATTATGAAGCAAAGAGGAGGAAGCTGACAGAGGCCATTAGCCTACGGTACACTGTAAAAGGGGTGTTACATTGAGGTCAACTGCAGAGTGGGAGAAAGAAAACACACCCACGCACACACACACACATACTGACATACAGAGGGGATCCAACAAACCTTACCTAAAAAGGGGCAAAAAGGACAAAAGAAGAATAAGAACAAAGTCAATACAGTGAAAAACTTAAAAAGGGGACACAATGCTTTCACTTCAAAATTCAAAAACCTTCTCTTCTGGCAAGGAGGACAGGAAAGGAGAGGAAGATTATAATGATTATCCAGCAGACTTCAATGTGATGCAAGGGTGCAATTGTGTTGTGAGTCTACTCCTAAGTGCATTAGCAAATTTGAACAGAGATGGTGGGCTCCAACACTGAGCCATTAATTCCAACACAACAACTGGACACACTTTGCCGCAGTCTCATCTGCCCACAAAGCAGGATGCTTACATAACCACACGTCAGTGGTGCCAGAGGCAGAAACAAGAGCACAGTCAGCCCCTGCAACTCGTTCTCTCCTCCACACATCCTTATCACATCAAATACATTGCTATTCAGCTGTTCAAGGCCAGATGGAAATAAACAATGATGAACACCAAATGCTAAGTTCAAAAATTACTGCTGTGTTGTTCTCTCCATACACTTGTCAACCTGCCAAGAATGAAGTAGCTTCCTGGTCTACTCTTGTCCACAGTCAGGCCGAGAATACCTATGAGACGACAGGGGGAACCAAGGCCATATATGTACATGAACAAGAGGTGCTAGGGCAGCCATGACAGAGCTCAACAGCCAGTCATCAGATCTGTGCGTCTCTGGAAGCTCACCAATACACACAATTAATATTTAATGTCTAAATGTCAGACCACAAAATATGATGCCTCTTCAATTAGTCAGGCAGTCAGTGTGAGCGGATATAAATCAAGATACAAGTGAGTTACAGTGATACCTGCCTGTAAAACTATTTCCACACCAAGGCAAATAAATCAACATTTAGATGTGAGAACGGTCACTCTGCCGAGCCCCAGCAGGCTAAGTTATAGTTTATACAGTACTGTTTATAGTCAAGCACAAAATTCAGCTTCCCATGGATAAAGTTTACTGTGTCCGTCAGACAACTGCACAGACAAATTCAATTCTCATTACCAGAACCATTAACATAAGAAAGGCAATCATCTTTTTATGCTGCCTACACATCGAATAAAGTAACACAAGTTTGAACACAGAGGACTTATGAATTTAAGCGACTCGCCTGGCTTTGCGTTTGGTGATATGCTATATGTTCATGTGTAAGGCTAAAGCTTTCCTATAGTTTGGGCGTGTGCTGGAGACTTTGCAGAATGAGTTGTGTTTCTCATTAAAATCCTGATATTGAGCCCATGTTACTGCTGGGTTTACAGGGAGAGCAATGCACTTGAGCCAGAGTTGAAATTGAGCAACAAAAGAGAAATGAAGTAGACAGAAATGACTGCATGAGAGTTACAGTAATGAAACTGGTAAATATGAGGTTAAAATGGTGTGGACTGAGAGGAAAGAAAAGAACATGGTGGAGGAGGTAGACAAAACTAAATGCCAGAAATTATGTGGAAAGAACAAGCTCCATTCTTAGCAGACTGCAAAGACTCATTGGCCTGCCAGTGATGACATCACTCATGGATATTGTTATACACCATCCCTTTTGGAGAAAGTGCAGGGAAGGGTGCGGCTATGAAGACAAGAGTTTAAGTAATAAAGACAGAAAGAATAAAGATACTGATGAGACAGAGGGTGAAGAGACAGGAAGAGGCTCAGTGGAAACACGCCAGGCCTCTGCACCACTGCCTCTGAGCCAATGAGCCTATGAGCACAGCAGGGCTGAGCTAATGAGGTTCTGACGTTAGCCAAGACCAACCCACACACCCTGCTCTGTTCAGCCTGCTCCCTCTTACAGCAAGTCAATATCAACTAGGCCATCCAATTACAGTTGTCTCCAGAAAATAAACCTCCTTAGTGCAGCTTTCTAGTTGAAAGCTTTTTACATCTTGCAGAATTAATTCAATGCGCAGAGCTTACAGGGCATTTTTGTGGTATAGCTTTCACTACACCCGAGACAACAATCCCCAATCTTAATACAAAAGAGAAAACTTCTAGTGCACACATGATCTTTATAGATTTTCTAAAAAGTGAATATTATGCAGACTACAGCGATAAAGGATGACATTGTGAGTTCAGTAAAACATTAAGACACCATCCAAATAGACTCTCAAAACCAGACCATCTAGTGTACCTTGGTTCTTGATTACGTCTAATTTCATTACCATAGGGACCTGGTCTGTAATTGCAAATACAACTGACCAAGACAAAGCCCAAGGAAGTCTTCTGCCTGTTAATTCAAGTGCTTTACATTTCAGCAATGAGGCAGCCATGTCAGATAGAGTTCTGGCTTACATCTTTGCTAGTTTGTGTTTCCAGAGTCAACCATGTGCTCTTCATTATCACTTCTGCATCACTGCCCCGAAAGAAAACAAACGCCCATGTTTCAAAAAAGAAACACAATTAAGCTCCTGTAACCAAGCTATAAACCCGGCATTGTAAGGTGATCAGAGGATGTTTGTTTATAACCAAGGGTTCAGAGAAAGATCTGGAGAAGGTAAGAGACTTGTGTGCTGGCACATCAGTAATCCAGAGTCCATAAACACCTTTTCTCTAAACTGGTTGGCTAAAAACAACTAGATGTGGAAAAAAAACCTGCATCCAATTAAACTGTGATTTTGAAGGGGAAAATCCCACTTTAATCTGAATTGCTGTGAACTAAATGCATCATTGGAAGACAAATAAACAGTTCACTTGCAACTCCCAACCCCCAGAGTCCCTGCCCATAGTCTTAATCTTCTACAAGGCCCCCCCTCTTCCAGTGTGAGGGAAGAGCAACATGAGAGCGACAGGAACAACTGGAATGATGTTTGTTTAGATAAAAATAAATTTTACTCAGCAACAGACACAAAGGGAGAGTTTAGAGAAAGAATGTGAAGAGAAAAGAAGATTTGCCGATACAAAAAAAAAAAACCCTGGAAATTTGAGGGGAAAGAAAATGGCAGAGGGTAGTGGCTCAGTACCACCAGCATACATTGAACAAAGGTGTACGGAAGAGTGAGTCCTTACCCTGCATGGTTTTGCCAAGGCCTTGCCCCAACTTCCAGCCATGTTTCTGAAGCAGCCGGTGCCCGATGTTATCCTAGCAGAGAGAAGAGAGGAGAAAAAAACCAAAAATATTCCAATAATAAGAGGAGCTTTTCCCCGTGGGCACTGGTCAAAAAACAAACAAACAAACAAAATAAAATCAAACACTCAGATCACACCATCATCATCAGCACAACCACCACCACCATTATCATTATCGTCATTCACATCACCTAGAGCGTGTAACATCAGTGTCTTCCAGCACAAGGAGTGGTAGGGGCGGTTGGGGTGAGAGGGGGATAGAGGGTGGGAGACTGAGAGGAAGGGTAGATTTTCCACTATGATGAATACATAAGGCTATGTGTAGACTGTAAACTACAGGATACCCTCCTACAGTAGGAGTGCAGTTTAAAAACCTTTTTTAAAAAAAGGCAAAGAAATTGGGCACAAGCATTTATAATTTTTTTTTTAAATGATATATAAGATAACACATCAAGTCACATCCACTAACTGAGAAGTTAAGAGGAGGAGGAGGAGGAGGAGGAGGAGGAGGGAGAGGGTAATATATGTATCACACGCATACATATATACACCACTACAGAGCAAGATCTTAGTACACAAAGAAAAGTGACACAGAACAGGTATGGAAATCTTGCATTAACAAAAAAAAGACCAGAGACTCCAAGCTTGCTGTGATTCTGTAACCATGACAAGGGTAGCACCATGAAACATATGCAGCTGTCACAAAAAAATATAGCGAGAGGAAGAGACAGAAGTGGAACTAGTGGGCCTTGGATTACCATTACAAGGCCCAGGGTGGACAGAATATGCAAGTGTGAGGGGATATGTGGGTGTGCAGGTGAAGAGAGGGAGACATTGTGTGCATGTAGCCCCATTAGATACTAGAAATAGCTGTTGTGTATGTTTTTGGACACCTCCGGCATCTCTGGTCTGTTATCAATGGTCTGGTCCCACCATCATTAGACACAAAGTTATGCCAAAGTTATGTCAGTCCCAGAGATATCATTAAGATTCATACTTTACAGACCAGATGACCTTTGCCAAACTGCAAGGTATTCTTTAGCTAGCATAAAAGGAATTATAGTGGATTTATAACAAGCTAAGACACATTTTTTCACAGTGGACACCAAAAGTGTGTAACTGCAGTGAGGTCATCTGCTTTAAAATACTAATTTTCTGCTTTTCTTTTAATACTAATGATTGCTATGACAAAGTATACAAATATACATGTGGTCAAGATCAGGCAATTGATAATGACTCAAAGAGGCAATAGAGGAGTGCGAGAACATAAACAACAGGGATACCTAGTACACTGGGGCCAGATGTGCATGTCTGAGACTGTTATATATATGTATATCACTAGTATGGGTCAACAAGAAAACAAAAACATTAAGTGAAATGCAAGACCGTCCCACCACTACACACTACAGTACATCCTCAAGCACAAATAAACAGGAAACAATGAGATTTCTTAATAAGCAGTGTTTTTCTGTTGTGATTATAACTATTCCAAGCTTGTCTAACATTCACCAGAGTGCTGCATTCTACCAAAAAACATACAAATCAAACAAAAAAAAAAAAGGATATTTATAATCACAAAGAGATTTACATCAACTTTCACAAACAGAAAGTGAAGGGGTTGGAACAAAACAGCATGCAGCTTTTTGTTAAGATTTTTAACAAAAAGGGTCGTCGGTGTTAGTAGCGCACTGTGAATGGTACACATACAGAGGGGTGGGCCAGGCTGGGGGTAGATGGCGGGGTTAAAAAAAACTCCAACTGTGTTAGTCTCAGGTGGATCAGGCACAAAGAGGAAGGTGATGGCTCAACAGGGCTCAATTAGTTCTCTTTGACAAAAAAGAGGAGGTCAGGACAGGGGGCAGAACAGAGCAGGCTGAGCCATGGTGTAGGTGAGTTTCTAGGGTGGTGGAGGTGAGCTGTGCTTGTATGGGTTAGTGCATGTGAAGGGGAGTGGTAGTCACACACACAGCACACACTGCATCTCCGCCCATAAGGTCTCATTTGGGATACGTTTGGCGTAATCTTTTTGTCAACCACTGTTGGTATTTCAGAGCAAACTGCTGCCTTCCTTGGCCCCATTTAATATTTCTGGAAGAAAAAAGGATGTCAGTTGTAAAAACTGTGACATACCATTTCACCATCATGACAACTAGAATAAATATACCCGAAACCTCTGACTGACACCCAGCAGAGAGGCGGAACTGCTTCATTTCCTGTTTCTGTTAGGGTTTGGTATTTCTTCCCTCCATTTCATGGATGTATGAGCTGTGCTTACTCTCGGTGACTGCCGGATCTCTTCCGCTGTGGAATAAGAGATAAGAGAGGAATCTATGCTGGGCCTCATATGTTGGGAAAGGAACTGGAGAAGGCCTGCCTGTATCATAACTAGGACATTAAAAGCTACATTAACATGCTATCACTGTGTAAAAGATGTTCCTGCCTGGCAGTTCCTGGAAGTGTAATAAGATATACAGAATTAAAGGGTGTATGGCTGATAGTGTTTCCTCCTCCCTGGTGGACAACATGTCCCCTGACTTCACTGTGTGGGAAAACACTGCAGAATTTGCTGCAGTGAACGCCTCCCCTCTAACCGACATTGGGTATGCTTCTGTCCCTGCAGTATTATGGTGCAGTAAGACTCTACACATGAACATGTATATTGATTTGAGGGATAAGCTGATCTATGAAGCTTGGAGAAAGCAGGGAAATAAAATGCACCCTAAACTTGCTGCCTGAGAAATACTCTCTCAGCCTCAACACAACCCCCTTTAGAGTTTATACTTCATCTCATCAGAAGCGTCTGATCAAGGGCAGCATGTTTTTTTTTTTTTTTTTTGTTTTTTTTTAAATCTCAGAGAGATAAAAAACAAAATAAAAACAGGAAGGGCAGGTCGGATGAGGCACCAGTTGCAACTGCTAACACTAATAAAGAGATTAGTTCACAATGGGCTCAGCAATGGTTAGAGGGCGGAGATGTGGCGCAAACTGCGTGTTGAACAGATGAGTGCACCAAAAGAATAGACAGACAGACAGACGGATGGAAGCAACGACGGCGAGTCCAACAGCAGTGCAAGTGGAGTGAAGGCATTTCCATACGAACCTGGCTTTAAAATACTGGGCTGTCAAAAAAACAGTCACACGTGACACAACGTAAGAAACCAGCCAAACGCTTTCAACTGCAATTCTGCTAGCTTCTCTAGTTCTTAAAAATGCAAATCTCACTCTGCTTTTAAACAAACATAATACTGTATACAAACAGAAAAGGTAGGCATGTCAATAAATCCACCAACTGACTGTTAATACAGGAGAAAGAAAAGTAGAAAATGTTATCCAAACAAAAGAGATCTACAAGAGGGGGTGTTTGTAAAAGTGTGCACTGTGCTGTCATTGGCACAGTGCATGGCAAAAGATATGGGTCAGGGAAGTGATATGCAGGGGACCCCACCTCGAGACCTCAGAGTATTTAGGAATCGTATTGCTTCTGTCTGTTCAGCCATTTATATGTGTGCAGTATGGGTGTGTTTATGTGTTTAGATTACCAAGGAGGATGTAACACGGAACAGGCATATAATCCACAGAAGCGACTAAATTAACCCAAATTACATATCTTGTGTAATTTTCCTTGGATGACTGCTCTCAATAACAACATCGGCTCTCAACATCTGAGATTTTGCACGATCCAAAAAGAAAACTGAGACAGACCCTTTAGGGATCTGTTCTGCAAAAAGTGGGCTGCTGCAGTTACTCATCATCCTCTCGTGTGCCTGAGGAATGTCTTTTGGCAAGTGCTGATGGTGGACAGGGCCTGCTGTCTGTTTCTCCTCATAAACTCTTACAGCTCCCCGTGTTTGGTGCTCTGTACATTCCTGGTCAGTCTCAGCTACTGCAGGTGTGACTAAATGGAAACAACTGTCTCAGTGCACCAAGAGCCAAACGACTAAAACAGAGGGCTCCTACATGTCAGTGAATGGAGGTACGTGTCTGATTGAACTTGATGGGGATTGAAGATTTCATTAACTAACTGATGGGGCAAATGACAGAGAAGCAGAGTCCAATTAATATAACGGTTTAAAGATATACAATAATTCAAAGATACATACTTACCTCATAATTCTGAAGACACAATTCATCAACTGGAAGTTTATCAAAGTGTAGTTACATTAAAAACACTGACGGCCAAACTTTGAAGGCGCCTCCAATGTCTTTAAACAAAGACTGGAACACTCACATTCCCACTGAGTTTGAAGTAAGGTAGTCAGACTGTGTGTTTTTGGTTATTTTTTGTTTGTTTTTTTAAATCTCCACTGTTACTCCATTGTTGATTTAAAAAAAAAAACATTCAGAGGCCTGAATGACCCTGACCCCATCACCCCCGTTGTTCACTTAGACTGGTGCTAAATAAAGAGCATGCAGTGTTGTAAAAAATGAGGGTCAGGATTTTAATACCTAATAATAGATGATCGATGTCTAACAGTTAACAGTGACAAACAGCAATGTCAAATAATGTCTGACTTTAGTGCAAAAGGTTACACACTTCATAATTCATTAACAGCTGAAACACTTATACTAAATATCCCATTTCTGTTCTGTTCCACTTAATGTAACCAAAGTCCTAATGGGCTGATTAGTAATGACTACAACTTAAAACAAAAGAAATACGCAGCAAAGTTGTTACCAAGAAAATCAATCTTCCTGTGGCCTGTAAACATGTGTTTCTTAGATTTCTGGTGCATATGTGTGGTGTCTGTGGCTCTGAGGCAACCCGCTGCATATCGCTCTGGGACAGGGTCAGGTAAGGGGAGGAGGGTAGGTTGGAGGGGCTGGAAGGGGAGAGACGTGGGAGGAATGAGTCTAGGAGGAAAATTGTAGTAGTGATTAGGACAGTGTGTTGAGAGAAAATAGTACTGAATGCTACCAAGTTAACACATGCAATGCAAAAACAATGTTAGAGAGAAAGAGCAAAGACTAAAGGGGAAAGACAGAAGAAAAAAGATCCCAATAAAAGTACCACAGACCTCTAGCTGCCTATAAATCACACACAATAAGTGGCTGGGGAGGGGCTCCGAGAAGCTGGGCCAAAGCATTCACTAACAGTTCTCAGATGTAACACTTGTGGACAACTTCCAGAAATCCTAACACCTTATAGGGTTGCACTACGGAAGCAGGGGCAGACCTGTGTACCTAAAAACATTGTTACATACTGCATGTTATGTTATGCAATGTGTTTTAACATTTCATGTAACATTTTACTTACTTAAAATGTGCTTAAAACGTATAAATAAAACCTGTCTACGGGTCTATTTTGAGGCTAATAATTTTGGCAGATGCTGTGAGGCATTTGGCTTGTTACTACATTTTGCCTTTCAAACAGGAATCGTGTCATCTGTATAGTGAGAACGCTCCTGATGTTATGACAGGTGTCACCAAATCCTCTAAAATGATCTTCAGTGTTAACAGTTTTAATTGGTGGCAAACTTTCATGGTTACTTGCCTGTGGATAAAAAGCCTGCCACCTTTGTCTTTGGGCATGCACTTTCCAAAGAGAATACGTCAGGTGTGCAAGTATTATTATTATTATTGGTGACTAAGTGACAGCTGACAGCACCTCTTGATGTGGCCATTTTTCCACAGATGTGTGAAGAACTGTGTGATGCTGCAGCTCGGCCCTCAGTGCCCCTCCACAAATAATAGCGCAGGAGTAAAAGAGCCACTCAAGCCAGGTGAGCAGGCCACCTCTCTCCCTTTCTTTTCTCCCTCTCCACCACCTACACACAAAGTGCGTCATACACAGAACTCAACCAGGATATACAATTTGAATGTTCTTGCTTCAGTTGATTCTAGCCATGGAAAACACATTTTCAGGGTGCTATGTAAATGGTGTTTTTCTTTTCAAGCAGGACATATAAAGATATTGTCACGATTAGCATGGATGACTGAATTTTCTCCTAAAATCACAACATATAACAAGACAACTGTTAAAGTGCCCTGAATACGTAGTCTCATCTGATTTAGGTCCACCAGAAAAGCCAGTGCATGAAAAAGTTTAATATTTAGAATGTGTCTTAGCAAGCTATTATTTTCAGTTTTTATATTGTTTTAATATATTAAGGAATTACTTGTTTATTCATGATTAAAATATCATGACAATGTCATGCCTATGTTTCTTATGTTTCATTATCTTAATGATAAATATATTTTTTATCATTAACATGGCTGACTGTTAGTTATGTATCAATGTTCAATACATGGGTTGAAAAACAACTACACCATTATTTTGATCTATACGTGGTTGCTGATCCTATCCTAAACTGGAGGAGAGGTGACCCGACACTGTGTACGTAAGAGGAGTTTGGGCCTGCTCACCACAGTGCTTCAGAGACAGAAGAGGGGATGGAAAGAGTGGGAAAGACAGAAAGAAGAGAGCTGCCTGCGCTATTATCTTTGTGCCTCTTCAGCAAAAAATGCAGTCCCAGTTGCACAAGCACCATGCCAGCACAGAATGACAGAGGGTACTGTACACCGAATCACTGTGTAGTAGGGAGGGAGCAAGAGAGGTAGAGAGAGAATAGATGTAGAGTGTGAAAGTAGTGAAACACACAAGAGAGAGAGAGAGAGAGAGAGAGAGAGAGAGAGAGAGATCAGAGAAGCGTTACAAGGACCCTAAAGATAGGAGTAAGAAAGCAGAGCGTGCAAATACAAACCGGGTCATTGCTGCTTAGCTAATAGGGGCCAATTCGCTGCAGGAGAGAAATGTCGAACACCCCAAGTTGTGTACAATAAGATAACTGTCCTATAGACACAAACACTATACACTAACACATAAATTCTAAAGCTACATAGAAACACACTCACTCAAACACAAATGTAGCCATTCACACCATCTAATGTGCACTCTTTTGTTTGCTAAATGGAGTGGAATAAGCACTGCCCACTTTTCATTAACAATTTTGAGCCACTGCCAAATAATCAGATGTATAATTGTCAAATGTACGTAATTAGGCTGTTCTTAAATCCAAATCTGTCCTGCAATGTGTTTTTATTCAGTTTCTTCTTGTTTAAGATGGTTTGATTTAAAAAAGGGAGTGGTTTAATAGTGAAATCACCATAATCATCATTATACAAATCTAATAAAACTGCAGGGCTCTGTATAGCAACCTGACTCGAGGCAAATATATCCAGTGTCCAGAATAAAATCTGGTTGGTACCAAATATGGAATTTCTTCTAAATGAGTTTAAAATGGATGAATAGCTAGCGTATTTAGAAAACAGCCATTAATTAACAGTGCTTTATCCACCCCATAATGTCAGAGTCATCTCATCTCTTAGTCCTAAGATGACTAACAGTGACTAATGGGAGGCTGATACAAAAATCAAACGTTTATCTGTAAGCTCTACATAAAACAGGAAGATCTAGCATATACATTATCATTTTAAATGTCACACAGGAAATGGAGTAGGCAGAGGACATGGGAAGTGGGAGGGGCTTAAAGGGTATTAATGGACATGAGACAAGTGATTCTACAGGTTAGGTGGCAAGTGTGTTCAAGAAAACACTGGATGCATCTACATGGACAGAATGAATGGAGTAAAAAGGTGTGGTTCTTATTTCTCCCTGGACCAATCATCCACTCTCACAGCTGGTCCAATGGTGCGGGATGATAGATGCAGCCTTACCGATTCGATGGGCTTGTCCAGGGACGCCTGCTCCAGCTCCAACTGGCCCTCTTCATACTGGTCAAAGTGATTCCCACCCTGTGTGACACACATTTAAAAGTCTATTTTAAACAAGAACAATTTAATCCTGCTTCACTGGTGGTGAAGTTCAATGAATTAGTCGATTGACAGAAAAATAATCAGCAATTATTCTCAAAAGCAATCAATTGTGAGGATTTGTGCTTTTCTAAGGAGCACATAAGAATTATTGTGTTTTTGTTACTTAAAATTAGAAGTTTTTATCTACAGGGAGAGTGGATCCTTTGCTACAGAGGCCGCCACGTTGAGCCGCCCAAACACTGGTTCTTTATAAAGCCTTTCAAATGATTAATTAATAAAAAAATAACCAGAAGATGAATATATAATCAAGATAATCATTAGTCACAGCCCTAAAAATAGCAATACACAATAATCACAGCAAGCGTTTCTGAGGAATAATCCATCATTAAAACTAGTTTAAACCATCAAAATCAGAGTTTATTTTCATCTGCGTGTTCAAAACAATGAGACAGCACTGTGTAAGGAGGCATGCCTACTGTCTGTCATTTTCAGTGAATAATAGTCATTCACTGTGAATAATAGTCAATCACATTAACTGAATAATAGGACTGGAAAACACTGTAGTGGTTATATTATGCACAGCACAAGATAGTATGATCACCAAGAGCCAAACTGAGGTCAGTAACCCAACCAGTGCTGGGTTGATTAAGCTTCATAAAAACTGTCTACAAGAGATGAAATATATTAATTTTTGTTACATCCGTGAACTAAATATGTGTTTTATCATGCCATATCCTGGCCAAAAAACACACGCTTTCTTGATAGTATTTAAGCAAAACACACAATATACTGTTAACTGTATTTAAAGAAATATTTATAGACTATACAGTATATTTATAAGTTATTATCTGCATAAAGTGCAACATAGGTGCTAAGCTCCACACACCAGAGGAAGAAAGTACACACAGCAGGTATATGCTATGACTGGAAATATGTCACTGTGTTAGTCTCTTTGTTGCCTATTATCCCCTCATAATCCATCACATTTTAATTTTGAACTAAAAGTGCTTTTAATTTGAGGATTATATTATAACTTGCATCTTAGCTAGCAAGTTCTTAAGTTTATTCAGCCATGAGTTCAAATGTACTTGACAGAGTTGATTTGTCTCTTTATTTCTTGGTAAATTTATTCCAGCAGTGACAGCAGTGAAGGAAGACTTCCTCCTCAGGCTATTTGTTGTTCCAAGTTTAAAGAATTGCTCGACTTATACAAATTGAGCATTTATGTTTAAGCCTGTGCCCCAGTTGGGACAGAGAGTGAGTAATGGGCTGGCTACCCCGACCAAAAGGAGTTTGTTTATAGAGCAGTTTCTGCCCTGAGACAGATGGCTTCCTCTCTTTAGCAGCAGAGGAGAGAAGGTCATGTTTGTGAGTCTGTTTTCTCCTGACCTTCACACAAGCATAAAACTGGAAGATTCCAAAAATAGTCAATGGTATTATATTATTTACTAGTTGCTTGCTGCTACTAGCAATAGGACATAACTAAATCTTAACCTGTAAATACACACAAAATATATATGTAACATATTGAGGTTTTATTTCATCTTTTCATGTCTATTTGACAGATGAAACATGCACTGCAGCATATTTACTCTGCCTTTCTATTCCTTACACTGGAAGATTACTGGAAAACCTTCTACAGTCTACAGCTACAGAACTGCAGACATTGCTGTAAAATGACAATGCAAACATATGCTGGGCCATGCAAGAGGCATTAACCCCCACATTCTCTAGGGGAATCTGGTTTTGCAGAGATAAGCAACTGCTCAAATCAGCCCACAATAATGAGGTGATCTGATGCCACACTGGCAGTCATTAATTCAGATGAAACAGGACCCCTGATCAGCATGAGTGAAGCTGGGGATTATGAGAACGGGAGATGCAGAGGAAGAGCAAAGGACTTATTTATGAGCAAATCGATTGCTCCCGGCTCCCCCCACCGTCTCTCCTCCACCTGACTTTCTGCTTAGACCACTTAATGTGCTATCAGCACTTCGCCTATCCACCACAATAACTTCTTATTTTCACTGCTGCTTGCTCCCTCATCAGCCTGACAAACAAACAACACAACAATGCAGCATAGCAATGATCCTCGCTTTGTCCTCTTGTGTACATTACAGGAGTACATTTCCATTTGTTATACAACAGTGAAATGAATGCTCCGTACCACCCCACATTAAGAAATTAGAGAACTACAACCAGCCAGCTCTGTGGATGCTAATAAATCACCTGATGTTTCTGCAACTTAAGATTAGCTGCATGCTAAAGCTCTAACAACAATGTAAATCAATAGAGCGAACAGAGCTGTTGGACTGGTTGTGCTGTAGATATTAGGTAGACCATCTGTGGGTGTTTTCTGCGCCGTGTTGCTTGGCAGCAAGCTTTAATCCATAGAGTCAGAGAGAAACTTTCTGAATACTGAGCATATGAATGCCTTCACAGCAGATCTCACACACAGAGCTCCACTGTGCTCAGCAGAGCTGCCCTCAACAGACTCATTCAGACCACACAGCAATTCACCTCTCACTGACAAAATAGCAGAACACTGAGTTCCCACTTGGACACCAACAAGTGTGTATGGAGGAAAAAACTGTTTCTTATACACAGGCTTAAACTTGTGATTTGTTTCATGGCATGTCTGCTAATTTGCCTGTTTTACCCTATTATTGCTACAGCAAAAAGATGCCTACTTCTAAAACAAACAGCTACATCAATTGTAGTACATTTTTAGACTATTCTCTACAATACCAAAAGACCCAATATTTCATAAAACAAGCTGACTTATACTATCCTTGTTCAAAAACACTCACGGCAGCTTTAATTGAGCATAAATGACAGAACAAAATGCTGTCAGCAAAATGCAAGGCAGAGTGGGTGGGTTGGTTGGTTCTGTTCAAATTATTCATCTAAGCCATTTTTTCTGACCCTGAACATCATTGTTGATACAGCAACTCTTCTCTTCATTCACAATCACTGGAAAACAACAGATGAGAAAAAGCGTCAATGTTTTTCAGATGGGAACCAATTATGGTCAGAAAATATCTTTACCAACTAGTAATCCACATTCATTTTAATGTGTGTTTATACAATAACCTTTTCTATTTGGACAATGTGATGAGGGAAAATGTGGTTCCAGGAATAAGCAGATAATTAGGCACAACCCCCATGTAATCTCAAAACTCCTGACTGAAGTTTGATGCTGGTTTTATTTGATAAAAAAACACTCCAAATTACTGTAAAACACAGTACTGACATTAAGCAAGAAAGGACTTTGACACACAAACTTGGATCTGAGACAACATGTGCAGCAGAATGACGCCTGGTTACACAGTTGATGTTCCCCTTGTACTTCCAGTTAGTAGTAGATTAGGTAATACAAATGATGTCAAAGAATTAAAAAAAAAAAGAGTTAGTTGTTTTAAAAATAAGGATAAATACAAATATGACTTGGTAAAGCAGGGAGATATTTATATCATCTAAGGGATTCGACAGGAAATAACAATCATCAATGACAAAAACCTACAAATATGGTTTAAATATATTGAGTAATGTTGTGTTTGGCTTTTACTGGGTGCGGTCTTAGATCACAGATAGGCAAGTAAAAGACAAACAGCTCAACAAGAAATAATGTCATGTCCCAAAAATAAAGTTATTAATGTGCAATCGAGTGGGATTTAAGAGCATAATAATCGATTACCTTACACAACTGCAGCACAATAACAATCGCATATTGCAGTGTATTCAGACTACTTTGTTTTCCATTAATAAAAATAATTAAAAAAAAGGATTAAAATATAGAATTATAGAAACAAACAAAATC